TATTTGTATATATATCATTGCATATAAAGATAATTTGATATTACCTTGGGTATGTGAGTGTAACCCTGAGTTCAGCTAAGAAGACATATGTGGTAGGCAGAATTCATAAGACTATCCCCAAGATTCCTGCTTCCTGTATAATCACTGGAATTCTGAATATGATAGGCTATCACTTTGTTGATTAAGTTATCTTAAATAGCTTTTAAAGGGGAGATTATCCAGGTGGAACTGACTTAATTGCATGAGTTTTCAAAATCTGTGTGTAGAAATCAGATAGGGAGAGGAATTCAGAGATACAATGCATTAGAAAGATTCACTATGCTACTGGTGGTTTGAATATAGCAAGGGCCACTGTCAAGGATACAAGTGGCCTCAGAGAACACAGAGCAGCCTCTAGGAACTGACAGCCAGCAAGAATATATGTACCACTGTCATACAATTGTAAAAGCAAACACACAAACAAACATAAAACATGAACTTTGCCAACAACACACATGAATAGGGAAGTAGGTTCTATTCAAGAGTCTTCATATGAGAAACCAGGCATGGTGGCTCATGCCTGTAATCCTAACATTTTGGAAGGCAGAGGCAGGAAAACTGCTTGAGGCCAGGAGTTTGAAACAAGCCTGAGCAAGACAGAGACCCTGTCTCTGCTCAAAATGGAAAAATTAGCCTGGTGTGGTGGTGTGTGTTTGTAATCTCCACTGCACTGATGGAACAGGATAGATCCTCCAAGCATAAAATAAATAAAGAGGCACTGGATTTAAAGGGCATGCTAGAGCAAATGGGCCTAAGAGACATTTACAGAACATCGTACCCAAAAACTACTGAATATACATTTTTCGCGTCAGCACATGGAACATTCTGTAAGATTGATCACATCTTAGGCAACAAAACGTGTCTCAACAATTTCAAAAAAATAGAATTTATGCCATGCATCTTTTCAGACCACAGTGAAATAAAATTAGAAATCAACTCCAACTGAAACACTCAATTCTACGCAAAGTCATGGAAATTAAACAACCTACTGCTGAATGATTGTTGGGTCAAGGAAGAAATTAAGGTGGAAATCAAAAAATTCCTTGAACTACATAGCAACTGGGACACAAGTTATCAAAATCTTCAGGAGTCATCAAAAGCTATCCTAAAGGGAAAATTCATAGATATAAATGCCTACATCCAAAAGACATAAAGATCACAAATCAACAATCTAATGAATCATCATAAGGAACTAGAAAAGGAAGAGAAA